CTCCGGATCTTTCTAATTTTGCCTCATGTACAGAATGTGCCTGTTGCGCAAGTAGTCCCCGATAACACTTTGCAGGTGGGGAGGGGTGGCGTAAATTTATCCATGGACACGTGAAACGAATTCAAACTACGATGGAATGTCTCACAGCCTGTAATTTGCTATCTATGCCCAGCAGACTGAACACAACAGTGCAAGCATTGCTATTTTATGGTAGTATTAGGTAGGAGAGTGGTTAACCACCTACCCAGACCCACTTCTATACAGAACAGGAGTCCTTTCACCCAGGAAATATTAAACAAAAATAAATTTCTTTACTTAAGCATCAAAAGAAAAAAAGCAATACAGTCTACGGCCCGTATTATTACTAATAATAATAATAACTTTATTTATTTGACATAAAGACATTACAGTAAATGTTTCATTGAATCCATAGGCTCCCAAACTATTGTAAACCTGTGTTTCAGGTGCCAGTGGCTTCTCCCATAACATTGCATTATTTATTAATAAACGTCACTCAACGACGAACTCAAGTGCGTAATCATTTGAAACGCCCTCATTACGATATCAGCATCTCAAGATCGTTGCTAATTAATAAACACATAAAAACAAGTATCTCAAAACGCTGTACTTAAGAATACTTTTCTGTGACTTGCACTCAAGTAAACACACTTGAGAGTCGAGTTTCGTTTATTAATCAGTGTGGCACTCAGCTGGAATCGTAAACCTAAACCGCATCTTGAGATATGTTTATTAATAAGATCATAACCTCAAGATTGTACTCAAGTGCATCTACTTGAGCTGAGTAACGTTTATTAATACGGGCCTAAGACATGTTTGTTCACATAAGTATAGTATACTTACATTCCTCCATTACAGCCCTTAACAAGCCCACTCCTGAACAAACGCCTCCCCCAAGGAATGTCAGAAATTAGGCTGAATTGCTGTGTCAAGTCAAGGGTTATCAATCAAATTTCTAGTTTGATTGATAGCCCTTGAGTTGACCATTGTTATGTTACGGGGAACTGTCTTCCTACAGTTTAGATTTATTTTAATTATCACACAGTTTGTGCAAGGTTACTACGTCAATTAATAAAGTTAATAATACAATACAAAGTTTTTTTTTATAACAATTTTAAGTCTCTCCCTCATAAGCTATATTTGTTCAAATCATCATTAATTCATTATAAAAAACTTGAAAAATAATGTTTATATTTTAGTTAGTTTAGTTAAGGTAAACATTATAATCTCAAATATACAACTAATCTATGCATTATAACGGCTTAAAATCTTTAAAATATATAAAATTTCAAATACTTAAGTATTTTTTTACATATTTGACAAAGCGAACTGTTCAGCCCATTCAATGACATCATCATTAGTAAAGGTTTTTTTTTATAAGATAAGGGTGACAAACGAGTACACAGTCCACCTGATGGTAAGTGGTTACTGTGGCCCATAGACATTTACATCTATCCTCGAATACGAAACAAAATGCAAATGCGTTGTCGTCCGTGAGGACTAAGATGGAAAACATCCATTCCAGTAAAAAGAGTCTTCGGTTCTCTACACTTACCATACGAAACACAGCAGCATCAAGCTGCTATTATAAGCTGGTATTCTGTGAGAGCGTGGTCCTTCCTCGGTCGAGCCAACCCATTCGTGCTACAACTATACTACTAATATAGCTGCAGCAGGACTCTACCACGTAAAAAGTTTGAAAAGCTATTAAAAATTATTAACTACTGATTGGAAAACGAAAACAATTAACATCGGTGTTTATAATAATTGGATTTGCGAGTCGTAGTCGCCCTTGTACATTTTTTTAAATACAGATTTTGCGATTACGACAATGCAAAGATTAAATACGTCGAAGAATAGTATGCTGACTATTGTGTCTTTTTTTTATTGAATAAGAGTGACAAGCGAGCACACAGCTCACCTGATAGTAAGTGGATGCTGTGGGTCAAATACCCCTACACTATCCTTGATTAAAAGTCAAAATGAAATGAAATGATTTTGGGCACATTATACGTGACCTGGTAAGTGCAGGTAAGTCGATGGATACAGGTGACTCAGGTGTGCTTTGTGGCATTCCTTGTAGGAGGCTTATATACAGCAGTTGACTTGTGAAGGACTGTAATGATGATGACGATGACACTTCCATAAAGAAAAGTGACAATTTTTATATCTTCCACTGCTGAGAACAGGATTAGATATCTGCGATATTTTCTTTAACTGTAGAAATTAAATAAATAACTATTATTAACTTCACATCATGTCCTCGAAATATATTATTGACCAGATATGTAGGTTTCCTCCAGTTTCCTCACTATGTTTACATTCGCTGCCGAGCACGTGAAAATTTATTTTATACTAGCTGTTCCCCGACTCTTCGCCCGCGGGGAGTTATTTTTCGCGGAACCCTAAAATAAAAGCAGCCCTAGTTACTCCTTATAACATCAGCTATCTGCCAGTGTGTATAAATATTGACAAATATTGACATTAATATTTATACGATACTAACGTCACTCAATTGTTTTGCCTTCCCGGAACCCCTCACTAACACTTAAACTTTATTGTATGGTATTAAAGTTCAAATTGACTTTTAAGTATTATTACGAATCTTCTTTCTTTCGAAAAGTGTTGTTTTTAGACTTTTTTAGGCAATTTTTTAAATTTTTCTCTCCGTAAGAACCATCTTCGTACTTCAAGAAATATTATAAAAAAAGTATTAGCGAAATCGGTTCAGCTGCTCTTGAGATTTGCGCTTAGCAACACATTCAGCGATTCATTTTTATATTATAGATGTACTAATAAATAATTTCATTTCGTTTGACCCCTGGGTTACGTACTATACACGGCTCTTAAACACTATTATGATACATCATAATCACAGTTACCTTTTATTTCCCTTCACTTATTATGAAATATAATCATTAAGTGTTACGAAAAACACGTGGCAGCAGTGACTATCGCAAGAGATTCTATCGCAACGTCTCGCAAGGAGGAATGTTTGCGCACGTTGGACAGATATTTTCATAACAAAAACAAAACAGAGCCAAGCTGACCGGCTCGTTCGGAATTTTTATTCTTCTAAACAGTAAGAAAAACAATTAGTATAATCGATGCTACATTTCTTTAAAAACTCTCTTATATAAATATATATTATTTAATGTTTTGATTGTCATTGTGCACGTGGCGCAGTTGATCTGGTTTTTACCTCGAAGTTTCACCTTAACGTAAAGTTAAGGATAATTCCAAATATTTTAAAAATAACTTTGTATGGGAATCTTTGAACCATTGTTATAAGTTCTTTAAAGCCTATTTTTGCGTGCATGTTTCCCTATCGCGCTATTTACACAAGAAATACAACAAGGAGTTTACAGTGAGAAGAAAACTGTAAAAGAATTTCTTGAATTTTTTTTATAGGAGAGGGAGCAAACGAGCACGCGGCTCACCTGATGGTAAGTGACTACCGCCGCCCATGAACAACTGCAACACCAGGGAGGGAATTGCAGATGCGTTGCCGGCCTTTTAAAAAGGAGTACGCTCTTTTCTTGAAGGTCCCTAAGTCGTATCGGTCCGGAAAAATCGCTGTTGGTAATCGATTCCACACGGAAGTCGTGCGAGGAAGAAAACATCTTCTAAATCGCACAGTGGTGGACCGCCAATCATCCAGATTGTGTGGATGGTATCGGGAGTTCTGCCGCGATGTGCGTTCGTGAAATTTGGCGGCTGGGATTAATCCGAACAATTCCTCAGAGCACTCCCCATGGTAGATGCGAAAGAAAATGCAAAGGGATGCAACATCTCCTCGCAGTGCCAATGAATCGAGCCGATCGGAAAGGGCTCGGTCGTCGACGATTCGAGCCGCTCTGCGTTGGATGCGGTCAAGTGGAAGGAGCTGGCACTGGGGAGCCCCTGCCCAGAGATGGGAACAGTATTCCATGTGAGGCCGAACTTGCGCCTTGTAAAGTTGCAGGCGGTGTACCGGCATGAAATACTGTCCCGCTCTGCTGAGCACGCCAAGCTTTTTAGAGGCCAATTTGGCCTTCTCTTCCAAGTGACCACGAAACTGCACGTCACTCGATGTGTCGACTCCGAGGATACCGATACTGGCTGAGGCAAGAAGGGGAGTGCCTTGAAACTGAGGAGATACGACAAAGGGGTTCTTTTTAGCGGTAAACGCGCAAACTTGTGTCTTCTGAGGATTAAACTGGACTAGATTTAGTCGCCCCCAATCCGAGACTTGGTTCAGCAAAGACTCGACTTCAGACACAAGTTTGTTCCGGTGAATTTAATATAGATTGTAAATAAAGCTTATCGAAAGCAATTTTTTAAGTTCTATTTACCAATGGTTTGTAAAATACGTCTATCTTGCGAATAGCCAGCAAGAAATCCAGCGGCAATATTAATAATCAAAAATTAAAAATTTTGTACAGCCGACTTCAATATAAGTCATTAAGAATAACTCAAAAACTAAAAACACGAGAAGTATCAGCTTTCAAATAAAAAAAAAATCTTCGAAATCGGTTCACCCAGTAAAAAGTTATGAGGTAACACACAAAAAAACATAAAGTCGAATTGAGCACCGTCTCCTTTTTGAAGTCGGCAGAAATATAATTACAAATTAAACATTTTGTACTGCCGACTTCAATATAAGTTATTAAGAGTAACTCAAAAACCATTGGTCTGACCTTGATAAAATTCATATGGGACCACACGAGAAGTACCAGCTTTCAAATAAAAAAGAATTGGAATCATCGAAATCGGTTCACCCAGTAAAGAGTTATGAGGTACTCGTAACACACATAAAAAAACATACAGTCGAATTGAGTACCGTCTCCGTTTTGGAAGTCGGCAGAAAAGAACAGTTTACAATCACACAAATCACGCCTCATAATCATCAGGTGGTCAAAATGGAACTCAATGAGATAGTATTACTTTTCATTCGACTTTTTTAAAATTTAAAACATATTTTAATATAAAGTGATACTCACCAAGCAACAGGAGGTTCTTGACACTGACTGCGATGATCTGGGGCAACGCTGTGCGCAAGTTTTTCTTGTAGTGATCGTTTGTGCTCATCTCCTGGTCACTCTCCTTTTCCATTGGCCCCATCTAAAGCGTAAAGAACAACTCTTCAGCGGAAATTTTGTTAACTTAGCCCTAAGGCTTCGTTCTGGTCATATTCCATCAGCAAAGTTCGCTTTCTTAATGAAGATAAAAAAAACCTTCAGTGATGTATGCAACAAAATTGAAGATGTTTACCATTTGTTGATAGAGTGTGTCAAGAACGAAAAAGATAGACAAGCTGTGCTGAAAGAATATAACGCAAATGTTTTGGATGTCGATCTAGTGCAAAGGGTTTTATCAAACCCCAAATCTAAGATGTCAAGACAGTTATTCCTGTTTGTTACTAGGACGGAATAATTATCTTCTCATCTTCAATATAAGTTTCCTATTAGTTCAGTGATGTAATTAATACTCATAATTATATTTTCTTATCTTTTTCTTAAGTGTAAGCAAAAGTAAGTGTAAACCTACTGTCAATTGCATGCATCCATCCGAATCGAAATCCGATGTCGAAACAACATGCCACCCCATAATAGTGGGACTAGCATGTCGTATCGACAAAAATAGCAAAAAATAATAATAAGTAAACTATTGGTAAATCCAATTGTGCATGCCCTCAAGCGCATTAAAAAAATTACGTATAACGTGATTATACGGAATTTTTTAAAAGTAGTTTAAATACACACTAATCACTTGGGGATAACCATGATATAGTATTATTTGCAGATGACACTTTTTTAATTTTCAAATTAAGTCGACAATTACTAAAATATGACGAAGTAAATAATGCTATATCTAAATTAGTAAATTGGTTCAATGTTAATAATTTGCATTTAAATGGCACTAAAACGAAATGTATGAAATTCGTGACTCCAAATGTCAAACAATTAAATACTAATGTAATTTTAAATGGGGAGAAACTGAGTCTTGTAGATACCACCATTTTTCTTGGAATCACACTAGACGCGAAGCTTCAATGGAGCCCCCATATATCAAAACTAGCAAGCAGACTTAGTTCTGCAGCATATGCTGTAAAAAAGATTAGAAGTCTAACCAGTGTTGAAACAGCTAGACTAGTTTACTTCAGCTATTTCCATAGCATAATGTCGTATGGTATTTTGCTATGGGAACACGCAGCTGACACTGAAATTATATTTGTTTTACAGAAGAGGGCCATAAGAGTAATTTATGATTTAAAGCCTAAAGAGTCGCTGCGACAAAAATTTAAGGAAATTAATATATTAACTTTGGCCTCTCAATACATTTATGAAAATGTAATGTACACAAAAATAAAAGTAGTTTTACAAAAATAAGTGATATTCATTCTGTAAATACTAGGAACAGACACAAGTTAGTAGTACCAGTTACGCGACTCCATAGAGTCAGTAATTCAATCTTGGGGCGATGTATACGCTTTTACAACAAAATTCCAGAAAATATACAAAGTTTGACCTGCTCAAAGTTCAAAAACTTTATTAAACTAAGTTTGTATAAAAAGGGTTATTATAATATTAAGGAATTTATTCATGATAATAACCACTGGAAATGAGGTGATCGCTACCAAGCTATTTCTAATATGTTGTGTTGTTAATTTGTGTAACATCAAGATTGTAAGCTGTTATTTAAAAAAAAAAGTTCCGCTAGGTTTCTTGCTGGTTCTTCCCAGGACAGAGGTTTTTTCCGAACCAGTGGTAATCAAACAAAAGAGTGACTTTCAATAAGTATTACTCGTATTTATAATCTATATTGAATAAATAAGTTTCTGTTTCTGTTTCACCTTATTATACTTCCAATTTTCTAACAATTTTATGTCAAACTTCAATTTAAAAAGTTTGTAAAATTCAAAAGTTCATGACTCATAATGCTCATATGATCATCATTCAGGTCACTCCATAAAGTCCAAGATGTATTTAAGTATAAATATATACATCCTACCCACTTTTAGTTCGTACTATTATTATTTATTCTCTGCTTTTAAAATATTATAATAATAATCAAGTATGTATGACATTTGGTTTTTCGAATATTTTGTATTTGTACAGCGATCTTTTCGAGGCGCTGCAAACAACCGAGTTAGCTTCCATCCACTCACGACAACGGTTGATACCGGAGTGAGTGAGGCAGTCTATTTCGTAAAATAAATTAATACAAGGCTGATAAAACACTGAAAAATTCGACATTTCGCAGCCAAAAAAAGAATTAATTATAACTAAAGAAAACAAAATTAAAGTGCTATTTACATTCCATGGCTTCCCACATGATAGATGAAGAGATTAAAAAATAGATTGAGTTAAACAATTGATATTCTCAAAAGTTATCGTGTTAACATTAATAAATCTACACCATAAGGCACTAAAACCATTTTTATGTAAAAATTGTAATTAATCGTTTTAAAAAAATATTAATGAGTTCAACAATCATTTATTTTTCTGACAATTTGCTTTTAATATCATTTCTATTTGCAATATGGTTGTTAGATACGATTTTATGCGACAAAACGTTGGAATCTTGATTTTTAGGCGCTAGTAGAACATACCTACGCGCTTTGCGCTTAAGGCATGCAATAAAGAGAAGAAAATAAAACTCTTTCATAATGATTTCTTATTTTTACACGAACACTACTCCTTACAGCCTATCTAAGTCCACTGCAGAACATAAACCTCCCCCATAAATAGCTTCATCGGTGGATATTTGCCATAATTGCCACGCTCGGTAGGCGGGTTGGCACCCGCGTTTTTTAGATGTTATTAGGAAGATGCTACTGCCCATCTCCTGGTTTCTTTCCTCTGTCGCCTCTTACGACACCTAGCGGACGTTATGGGGTAGTGGATATTCTTACACCGCCACTACATGGAGACCAATTAGAATACATAGAATGACACTTGTTTTTACAGATTATATTCAGTAAATTCATTTACGATCACTTGGCGATTCTTATGTTCAATGCTACTATGTCATATTTTACCACTAGTGTTGCCCAAATTCAATCTTGGTCTTGCAGTCTTTTGTGCAACACTGTTAACCACGGCTACCTTCAACTAAATAATTAATCCGATCTACGCAGAAAAAGTTAACATGCATCATGTGATATCTTGAAGTTGCAACGGTATGTGTGGCTTGGGATTTAATTTTATCTATACATATAAATAAAATTAAAGTGTCTGTCTGTAATATTGAAATACTTTCTAAACCTGGTAGAGCCAGGCTGCAACTATATTAGTTGTAGCACGAATGTGTCGGCTCGACCGGGGTAGGACCACGCTCTTACACAATACCAACTTAAAATAATAATAATATCGTTTAATCGCTTAACATGGTACATAGTCCACATGTTTACCACATCTGGCATGCGAAAATTATTAATTTGATAAAAATAATTAATTATGTACATAGATTAAATTAAACCAAATAAATATAAATTAAAAACTTAAAAGTTTCAATAATCATTTCAAGCAAAGAAGTTAATCAGGTAATATTCAATAAAATAAAATAAAATAAAAATTATAATCGTCATGTCAATCATTATAAATAGTAAACATTTTAATGTCAAAAGAGTACACAAATTATTATACAATAATAAAGTCTAAAAGGAGATTTTTCATTCTTGGCTTAACGTGGATAAGTTGTTGTGTAAAAAGTATTTTTACGAAAAAATATAATTAAATCTAAAATTAAATGTTTTATAATTGTCGTAGTAGGAAAGTGAATGTAAAAACAAGTCGTTTAACAAGTATTTAAGCCTAACGAGTTCAAAACGCTTCGCCTTATTTAAATAATAATTAATAATAATTGTGATTACAGTCTTAATAATCGAGTATTAATATAATCGATTTCTCAATCTGAGTAAAAAGTGTATTTTCTTGAAAATGTGCAATTAAGTGACTTTCAGAAGGTTTTTAGTATATTCATTTACCTTTAATTACATAAAAACCAAACAAAAAAACTCATTATTTTGGCCTGCAATTCTTGCTACATCCGATTATAATATTAGTTCGGTTGTTGTCAACTCAATTTTTTTTTATTACCTATCTACCAACGATCAATAATGGCATGTATACAGTGAAAAAAAAAAACAACATTCGCTTTGCCTCCGTGTATAGTGAATGTTGTTTCGGTTATTTTTGCGAAGTATTTTGTTTTTGTTATAATGGAATAAATATCGCTCCAATTGAAGACTCGGCTTTACCGTTGGACACTGAATCTACTCATGACGATGACCCTGGTGCTATTTTGTTAAACGTTGAACCGGCTTTAAATGACAAGAAATACTCACAATTGTAATTTTTTTCAACGACAAGTTTTAGTTGTAGCATTACACATGCTAAATATGAACTATTTTACACTCTCCTGCAACCTTATTACTATAATTCGTTTCTTTGAGGTGTAAACTATTAAAACCCCACTCATTAAATATTATAGTTAATGTTCACGTTGGGCCAAATTACCCTAACAAACTGAGCAATTCCCTTTATGCAACTACATTCTATTCATTTAAAAATTGTTTTTTTTTTAATCTTTATTGACTATAGAGGGTTTGATATAATATATCAACAATGATAAATTCACGTAAACAATAATAAAAAATTATCTGTTCTTAATACCTAACAATACTAGTTTATATAGTTTTCTAGCCTTATCCGACAATGGAAAAGCTAAAATACTATTACACAATCCAATACTATTTTTGTCAAAACCTAATAGTTTTCTATATGCTTCGTTCCGTTCACATTCCATCATAATATGGATAGTATCTTCCAGAACTCCACATTTGACACAACTTGGTGAATTCACTTTTTTCATCATAAACGCATATTTGCTTAATGGAATATGTCCAGAACGAAGCCTCATTGCTGTAATAATTTCTCGCCTTCCAATATTGCATCCGTCAAACCAAAGGAAGCGGGAAAGATGCGGTTGTATCGTCTTGTACCAACACCTTTGGACAGTGACCTTTCATCAAAGTATTCGGACCACTTTTCTGTACAGTTTCCTCGGACTTTAGATAAGAGTTCGAAGAAATAAGGAACACAATCGAAATTATCCCC